TGCCGCTCCACCTGCTTATTGTGCTCTTTCTCTCTCTCTCTCAGTCAAATAAATAAAAAAATATTTTTTTATAAAAGTGCAGAACATTAACCTTTAACAAAAATAACCTTGAGTCAGGCAGGCATCGCTCCAAGGGCTTTTTGTGTATTAACTTAACTAACTGTCCTAATCGCCTAGAGGTTAGTTACTGCCATTACCATTCCCATTGTACAGATAGAACAACCACAGAGAGGCCAAGCGCCTTGCCCAGGATCACATACCAGGACCAAGGGGCCGAACTCCGAGTTTGATTTGGGAATCACAAGACTCTCCAGGACACAAAATGGGCTCTCAAGAGGTAGGGTAGCCAGTCCTTTTATTCACGGCCCACTGTATCAGAGCAGGTGTTTATAAAGTGACTTCCAAAAGCTCTCCCTGAGCTCTTGACACAGCTCAAGGACTTCTCTATGGTTCTGTCTTCTAGTTTTTTCCATCAAGCGAGTCACTCACTGGGCATGTGCTAGAGCTTTGGACAGAGCACAGAGCACCCAGGACACACAGTGATCAGGACAGCCAAGGCCAGATAGGCAGATGGTGGCCAGGGAGTGATGACAGTGACAGATGACTAAGGCAGTGGTCAGTGCTCTGAGACCCTTCTACAGGAGACCACATGTGGGGCAGGCAAAGAGGATGAAAAACTCCCGGAGTTGACATGTGTGACCTGAGGGAGTGATGAGGAGGTGCCAGCCTTGCCAAGAACCGGGAGGGGCCAGGAGATGTGGAAAAGGCCATGGGCTCCCAGAACTGAGAGAAGGCATGGCTGGTTGGAGTTAGGCCCAGAGGTCGAAACAGGTTTTCTGGGGCCTGAGGTTTCCAGCCTTTTGGAGAAGTTCTTTAAGAATATGCATACCAGGGGCACCTGGGTGGCTCAGTGGTTGAACATCTGCCTGTGGATCAGGTGGTGATCCGGGAGTCCTGGGATCAAGTCCTACAGGGAGCCTACTTCTCCCTCTGCCTATGTCTCTGCCTCTCTCTGTGCCTCTCATGAATAAATTTTTAAAATATTAAAAGAAAAAAGAGAAAACACACAGCAAATCATGAAGGCAAAATTGATCCAATCTCTTCCTGGGCCTTGAAAGAAACTCTGAAGGTTACGGCCTCATTCGGCCTCATGGAAAATGTATCCCTGGCCAGAACTGAGCATTCCTGGGTTGCCAAATGCTGATGTATTAATACCCCAGAGGCACAATCTCAGACATACACAAACACACTGAGCAGAGCGTTTGTTGTGTCCTGAACAGATGAGCAAATGAATTTCCACTACCAGTTCTACCGATGGTAACCACACTCACTGAGTGCTAGCCAAAGCCAACAGTTACTGTAGGCCAGGCATTATCTAAAGGGTTAATTTAATTTTCACTGCCACCTGATACAGGAGGTATTACTGTCATTCCTATTGTAAAGAAGAGGAAAATAGGGCTCAGAGTGGTTAAGCAACTGCCCCAAGGCCACACAGCAGGAAGCAGACCCAGGCAGATGGCCTGGAGTCGGCCCTGAGCTTCTCTGGCAGGGTCTCTGCTATCTCAGACAGTGGTGACTACATTAGACAGACTCTCCTCTCAACTGCTGGAGCTCAAAGCAGTCTTTGAGCTGTCTGGAAGGAGAGACAGACACCAAAGTGAGCAGTTATAAATTACACCGTAGAAAAAAAAATTTTTTTTAATTACACTGTGGATTGCAAAGCAATAAGAGTATGGGAGGAATCACCACGAGATAGTGGACAGGGATGATGGGAGCTGCAATTTTAAGTCAGTGTCCAGGAAAGGTCTCACAGGGAAGGTGACATCTGAACAAAGGCTTGGAAGGAAGTGAAAAAGTCACACTGGGAACAGAGCGAATGAGACCCAGCACTGACCTCGAGGAGCTGCCATTCTGGGCAGGGGCGGTTGAGGGCGGGTACATGGGTGAACCAGGAGATCCCAATCCAGCATGGAAGCAGAGCTGAGAGAGGCAAGCCTGGGGGTGGGGGTGGGAGGGCTGCAGGAGTGTTCAAGGACACATGGAGAGGCCTGAGAGGGTTGGGGTAGGGGGACTTTCTGGAGGTGACACCAGAGAATCACTAAACTTTGATACAATTGACAGGTCAGAGTTAGGCATGACAAGGGAGGCACAAGCAACAGAGGTGGAGAGGGAAGGGTACCCAGGCAGAAGGCAGAGTGGGGGCAAAGGCCCAAGGCAAGAAGGGGTCTGGTATGTCCAGAAAGATCAGGTGGGAGCTGTGGACACACAAAGGGTGAGGGAGGGATAGGGCACCGTGGATGGCAGAGCAGGAAGCACACACCCCTGGGATAGGGCAGAGGCTGATACCCGAACTTTGTTCTCAGCACACACCCCCATGCCAGGCGCTGTGCTGGGTGATGCTGGGACCCAAAGCCCATCAAACTCGGGTCTGCCAGGTCAGGGAAACAGATGCTACCCAGGCATCTCAGCCATGGAGACCAGGGCTGCGGCCCAGGGAGGCCTATGGGGCAGAAAGAGCCCGAAGCAACAGCTACAGGTGGGAGGAAATCAAGAGAGAAGGTCCCAGGACGCCAAGAGCAGCTAAAGACAATATCCCTGCCCTTTGCTGCCAGGGCTGTGCTCTAGCTATGGAGTGAGAAGGGGAGGAGTGGCGCCTGGGTGGCTTGGTCAGTTTAGCGTCAGCCTTTGGCTTAGGTCATGATCTCCAGGTCCTGGGATTGAGAACCGTGTAGGGCTTCCGGCTCAGCGGGGAGCCTGCTTCTCCCTCCCCTTCTGCCCCTTCCCCTGCTTGTAAGTGCACCTGCACACACTCTCTCACTCTCAAATAAAATCTTTAAAAACCCAGTGGGGGCGGTGGAGGGAGGAGGAGGAGCAGAGACTGGAGCAGGACTTGCCTGCACTTAGATCCTGCTTGTGGCTGCCTGGAGCTGGGTGATCTGGCAAGTCATAGAATTGCCACAGGCCTCAGTTTCCTCACCGGTCCAAAAGGACTCATAACATCAAGGAGATACTGAAAGTACTGAATGAGTCAGTCCCTGTCCCTGAAGAATAATCACTCACTAACCATTAAGCAGCTATGACCACTGAAGTTTCCATGCCAGGTCCGGCTCCCAGGCCCTCCTCCCCACCTCACTCCCCAAGCCCATAGGGGCCCTGGTTTCATGCACCCCAAGGCCTCTGGCATGCCAGGCCCTGTGCTGGGCAATGCTGGGGACAGAGAGGTGGAATCCAGTCTAATAGTGGGGACAGACACGGATGGGCAGTCACCATCTTCAGTCTGCTTAAAGCCAAGTATTTCAAGGGGTGCCTGAGTGGCTCAGATGGTTAATCATCTGCCTTCAGCTCACGTCATGATCCCAGGTCTTGGAATCAAGCCACACATTGGGCTCCCACCTCAGCAGGGAGTCTGTTTCTTCCTCTGCTTCTGTCTCTTCCCCCTGCTCATGCTTGCTCGCTCTCCCTCTCCCCGTCTCAAATGAATAAATAAAATCTTTAAAAAAAAAAAAAAAAAGCCAAGTATTTTGAGAAACTGGCCTGAGAGGCTGTATCTGATTCACCTCTGCTTGGACCAGCTTTTCTCTGGGGCAAGCCAGACCCTCAGACACACTGCCCCCCAAGCCCTCTCATGGGGAGTGGGAGCCATTCCACCAGCTCAAACAGGATTTCATCTCTAGCAAACACTTCTCCCTCCCTTCCTGGCTAGAGCCTCCTTGCTCACCAAGCGACTATGTAGGGTGAAAGCTTCTGGGTTCCCAAGTAACAGTCAACTGAGTGTGCATGTCCTGACAGGTGACAGTGTGGCTTGCGTGCAAAGCACTAGTTGGGCTGAGCCAGACGGACCTGGAGGGGAATCTCAGCTCTACCGCATTAGCTGGGTGACCTCTCTGCGCCTCAGTTTCTCCAATATGTTCCACAGGGGCCATGGCACCTCCAGCAACTCGTACTGCACACGATTATTAAGACAGTGAGTCCAGAAGTTGAGAAAAGGGCACGGGGTCATGACCCCAGAAGGGCCGGGGCTGAATGAAGAGGGATCTGAAGTCTGAACCTCACAGTCCTTGATCTTTGCCCTCAGGTGTGACTTTGACGTTTGGGGAAGAGCGGCAGAGATCAGATGTACGAGAAGACCCCCCAGCCAGTGACCCCGGAAGCACATGGCCGCGGGGTTCGGGGAGGTGGGGAGTGGGGCCCGGTCACCTTCACGGCGAAGTCGATGACCCTCTTTACAGCCACGAGCGCGCGCAGCTCCGCCATCTTCCTGCTGCCACCTGCGGGGTCAGGCGGCTCGCTCGGCCTCCAAATCCAGACGTCCCGCCCCCACCCCTCCCACCGCCCCTCTCTGCGTCTGCGCCCCGCGCCGCCAGCCAGTCAACCGCTGCGGTACCTCCTCCTTCCTGACAGAGGACCAATCGGAGGCCCGGAGGGGAGGGAGGTGAGGCAAGAAGATCCGGACCAATGGGAACCGGATCCCGGAGAAAGAGGCGGGACCTGAGGGGAAGGGACAGGGACTCAGGGAAGGGGGCGTGGCCGGGAACTAGGGGAAAGGTCGTGCGCGTAGGCTGGAGCTCCCGCGGCGGAGCTCCTCCCGAGCCTTCTAAACTTTTCCCAACGACTCTGCAAGTCGCCATGCTTGTGTTTCATCACCCACCCCGGCCTCTTATGTCTGTCTCCCCGTTATCTTCTTGCCATGTCGCTAGTCCCCTGATCATGCCTCTAACGTTCCCCTATATCCGTCTTCCCGCGTCCATGTCCCTAAATCCCCTCCACGCGCCCATGCGCTCTCCTGATCCCCTAACCCCCGTGCCCCGTTCCCCCTCCTAGCCCACGCGCCTTGTCCACTCCATGCTCGTGTCCCCATGTTCCTTGTTCCCTATAGATTCATGTGCTTATGTGTCCCCCAACCCCCAGGTGCCCCCCATGTCCCAGTCCCCCGTCCTTTTCCTATCCATGTTCCCGCGTGCTTTTGTGCCCCCGGTGTCCGCGTCCTCACCCCCGCTAGAAAGGCACGCGCAGCCGAGGTGGTGAAAGCGGTTCCTTTATTCTGCCCCAGGCAGGCTCACAAGTACACGGGGAATCCGCTGATGGCATCCGAGCTCTGCACGACCATGTCCGCCAGCAGAAAGTAGATGCCTGGGGAGCGGAAGGCCGGTGGGGGCCCTTGGGCGGGTGGGAGCCCCCAGGGCGCCCTTGCCGGGGATCTGCGGGGGTCGGGAGCGGAGTGTGCTCGGGAGTCCCGGGGGAGGGGGGTGGCGGCCGAGAGTCTGCGCTGAGGGGGTCCTCTCCTCCACCCTCTTCCCGCTGTGCAGCTTACCCGCGAGAATAGAGAAGGGCAGAGCCAGCCACCCCGAAAAATAGGACCACGAGAAGAAGACGTCGTTTTTCCACGCGTTCTCCACGGTGTAGCCTGTCAAGGCCAGCAGCAGCAGCAGGCCTGGGCCCCCGCGCACGCAGTGAGCGTGGCCGGGGCCCAAGCGGGAAGGGGGCGCGGACCTGGCCCCACCCAGACTGCGTCCTAGCCGGGGCCACGCAGCCTCCTCTGGGTCTCCGGCCCCTCCTCCCACTCCCCTCTCAGAGCCTGAAAGCTCAACGCGTGGGCCCCTAACCCGGTGCAAGCGGCAGGCCCGCCCTATGCCTGAGGGCCCGCTGCCCTCTCACCGCAGAGGAAGAAGATGCTGCTCGTGGTCTGGCCCCGCGCGTCGCCCTCGTGGCACAGGATCCGCAGCCCCATCACCAAACCCACGAGGCCGGGGCCCGCCGCCAGCACCATGTACGCCCCGGTCACGGCCAGCATGGCTGGGGAAAGGGGGCACCTCAGCCCTGCGCCGGCCCCTGGCCACCACCCCGACCCGCCGGTACTGGGCGGGAGCAGAGTTGACAGTTTGGATGGGGACTTGGAAGTTACTTCATGAGGGGCAGTTAATGTCACAACAGGCAAGCAGGTCCCAAAGTAGGGATTTGTGGTAGTCTCTGTCGTGGAGGAGCAGGTGGGCCTGAGACTGGAGTGGAAGGGGTGAGGGTGGGGGCACTGCGGGATGTGCCCAGCTGTTGTGCCAGCTGTGGTCTGTGCTGGGGGCTGTCTGTCCAGTGGGGGACACCTGGGCCGGCCGGGCCTCACTCTGGCAGGGGATGTTGGAGCAGGTGCCGGCATTACACTCCTGCCACAGGCCACGGTGGCCCCCAGGGTAGCGTATCCAGTAGTTGGTGGCAGTGGAGAGAATCATGAGGATTTTGGCCAAGAAGCCCAGCAAGATGCCCCCTCTCTGAAGGCTCCGCTTCACCCCCATGCCAAGGAGGCTGCTGCCAAGGGCCACACATGCAAGATTGGCCAACACTCCTCCCGCCCCTAGACCCCTCTCCCAGGTCCTGCAATTCCTTGAGATCCCCTCCCACCTGTCTCTCCATATCTGACTGCACCCCGGGCACTGCTGTCTGTGGACCCCTTCTTCAGGCCCTCCCCAAACCTCCTTCCCAGACCTCCTTCCCCCTGGCCTACTGCTCTTCATGGGGGCCTTGAGACCTTACCCCCAAGGAATCACTGCTTAGAAACCTCCCCATCTTTCAAAGATCTTCATGCCCCAGTGGAATGTCCCTTTAGCCTGTCCAGTGCCCTCCTCACCTCCCCCATGCACACACCCACCTAAGTGACAAGTGACTCACCCCTAGCTCCCAGGCTTCTTAGACACAGAGTCCAGAGGGGTGGGGGAAGGGAGACTGGGTCTCTGTGAGGCAGGAAGAGTTCCAGAATTCCCTCTCCCATGAGCCATTTAAAGGGATAACAACACACACACACACACACACACACACACACACACACACACACACATAACTCTTCTAGCAGAGACAGCTCAGAGTCTGGGGGGAGCCAAAAGGCCATGACATGGTAGACCATATCCCTCTGAAAACTCTTCCCTTGATCACATAAGCACTCCAGGTTCCCAGCTCTCTGACTGCCCTCTTAGATGCCCATGCAAACTCCTGCTCCCCATCCTCCCAATTTTCCTAGAGCCTCCATCCTGCACATGCCCACAAGAGGACCTTCCTCACCTCCACTAGTAGCCACCGATTCTCTGATAACAACCCAAACCATCTCCAGCCCAAGTCTCCCTCCAAGACCCCTGACAAACATATCCCAACTGAGCTCAATATCCCCCACCCAAACCAGGGATGACCCTGCTATCCTGCCCATCGCCCATGCCAGACGCCTGAGTACTCTCCTTCCCCCTCCTGCCCATCACTCCACAAAGCCCTTGGATCCCTGAATCCGGTTCCTTCTGCCACCACCACCCACTCCTGCCCCAATCTTTCTGGCTCCTTCCCTCTTTCCCATCTCATGCCCTGGTCCCAGTCACACCCGTAATGTTGCCAAGCTTCTCTCTCCCTCTGGCCTCCCTCCATGCCACAGAGGGGTCTTTCTGGCACCTAGAACTGGTGTCACCCCTCCCCAACTCATAACCTTCTCCTAGATCCCCATTGCCCCCAGGAGTGGCCTTAGGGGCCCTCCCACCTGCCTCTCCATCTTCATGCTCCACCACCCTGTATTCCACATTCCGCTACAAAGCACTGTTTTCCATCCCTGAAAACATCCAGCCATTCCACACCTCCACCTTTGTGTCCCTCTGCCTGGATGACCTCTCCTTGGCCCTCAAGAAGCCCCTAAACACCCTCTCCCCAGAAAAGCTCACCTTCATCACCCCCGACAGTCTTTCTTCCCACCATCCTAGACTCTACCTGTGGTCTCAATTTCCCCAACCAGGACTAGCAGCCCTAGTGGGCAGGGCCCAGGTCAGATTACCATCAGCATCCCCAGTGAGACCCAGCAGGAAAGATGAGCTCAGGAAAAGCCAGCTGAAGGAGTAAGTGAATTAATGAAGTGGGCAAGGAGGACCAGAGTGAAGACCAGGGTGACAAAATCAGAGCAGGAGTGAGATGGAAAGATAAAGAAGAAAGAGAAAGTACAGAGAGTCTTGAGGTGGAAACAGGGAGAAAGATAAGGGCAAGAGAAGGAAAAGACATGGGACCGTGCCTGAATCCACACCGTTGTGTCCGGGAGCTACCTGAGCACAGGTGGGGGTTCTGACTCCTTTCTGTGTGCCTAGTGTCCCTACCATGGAGCTCAGCTTATGTCGTGTCAGAATTAATCTCAGAATAACCACATTCCAGGATGCCTGGGTGGCTCAGTGGTTGAGCGTCTGCCTTCTGCTCAGGTCATGACCCCCCAGGGTCCTGGGATGAGTCTTATATCAGGCTCCCTGCAGGGAGCCTGCTTTTCCCTCTGCCTGTGTCTCTGCCTCTTTCTGTGTCTCTCATGAATAAATAACTAAAATCTTAAAAAGAAAGAATAACCAGATCCCAGCAAATTTTTGTTGAACGGATGAAGAAACAAATGAAGGGGTCTCAGGAGGGCTAGGGGTAAGGGCTAGAGGGAGGCCTGTGGGTGCCTGCGGCTCCTGACGACATCTTCTGTGACTACTGCTTCTTCCTCCTGGTCTCGCCTTCAGCTCACAAGGTGTCATAGCCAGGCCGGGAGGCTCTACAATAAGCACTCAGACTCAGGCTACCTGGTGTGGCAGAGAGAGGTTAGCGCTTGCCCCCACTCTGCTCTCTCAGACCCCAGACCGCCTCCAGTTCCCAGAGCAACAGTCACCTGTACAGAGCAACAGGACAGTCGAAACCCAGCCCAGGTAGAAGGACCAGGAGAAGAAGGTCTGGACCTGGGGGCTTTGAGGCTGGTTCCACCGCTCACTGGTATAGACCACCATGGCCACCATCGCAAAAAGGCCTGAGGATGGAGAGGAGAGACAGGGCTCAGCCCCTCTGCAGAAACTCCGGTCCCCAGTGCCCAAGTACAGCCCAGAGTCTACCTGCAGCAAAGGCTGTGACAGAGGAGACGAGGCGCCCGTGGCCTGGAAGGGACAGTAAGGGGATGTAGGACAGGACCAGGAAGATCACCGACACCAGGACCGACAGACCAGCCAGAATGGTGAGGCTCTGCGTCGCACGGATGTAGTCTGTTCAGAGGTGAGATTTTGGTGCCTGCCCCTCTGGCAGCCCACCGCCCCCAACAAGAGACCCCTCTCCCTTACCTGCTACTTTGTTATAAACCCCCTTTGGCCAGAGGCCCGAATGAAATGTAAAGCTGGGCCCCACAGCCACGAACCAGAAATCCGTACTCAGAGCAATCAGGATGGTCACCAGGCCCAGGGAGCCAGTGAGTAGAGCCAAGGACCGATAGGGCTCCATGTAGGTGAGCACTAGGTGTCTGGGTCCTGGAGATGAAGAGGCTGGTAACCTGGGCGGATGGGTCCTCTGAGCTCAAGAAAGAGACTCAAGACTTTAAAACCAAGCTGGTTTGGTTTTACACAGTTCCGGGTAACGGACTCTTGCCTTACACCCTCCCTTCCTGGTTGCCCTGTCCTCCCCCCGCAGAGGTCCGGTTCTCCTCATAGTGTGTGGTGGGGGAGGGTGTCATATCATCAGTGGTTTGGGTGGTGGTTCAGAACTTACCTCTGTTTTAGGTTCTATACCTCCCACCCTTGGAACCCTCAACATCAGAGGAGACTTCTTCCTGGAAGAGGTGTGAGAGAGGCTTGGGGGCCTCAGGGTGGAAGGTGACAGATGAGACCAGGGTGTGAGTTAAATGGGGGGGATGTGGCCAAAGGGGACAGTTAGGGGTTGTGTCATGCTTTCCTGTGGGTTCTGCAACCTTCCATTCTGGAAGAGGGGGCCCCAACTCTAGTGTCTCTGCGGAAGGAGGGGCCTGGAGGCCAGGATGCTTGCAACTGAAGGGATAGAGGGCTGGAGGCCTGGACTTGGGTCCTGAGGAAGAGGCGAGCAAGCAGGTCTCAGACTCCTGGATCCCTGCCTGGAGCTTTTACCCAAGACAAGCAAACAGTGGAGAATCACAATTCTGAAAGTTTGTGGAGAGCATGACATGCCCACATCCTCCTCTGATGAGAGTTCACAGAGCTCTGCTTTGAGCAGGGCCTCCAGTGTGATGGGCTTCATTGCCAGGATCAGGGTGCCTGAGGGACACAGGCAGGCACACAGGACCCTCCCACCCTCCAATCACTAGCTGCCTCTTCCCATACCAGCAATGGGCTCTAAGCAGTGCCTCACCTCACCAATGAGCAGGTATAAGGTAAAGGTGCCATAGCCCAGGTAGAAGGTGCAGGCCATTCCTCATGGCCTAGAAGAGGACCCCTGTTATGAAGATGACCTAAGCCAGCAGTCCCACAACAGCTGGTAAAAGGGAGACCCAAGAGTGACTCAAGTGGCCAGGGCTTCTTCCATCTTCCATCATTGGAGACTCCAGTTTGCAGTCCCCCACCTCTCACCCAGACCCTCACCACTGACGTAACTGGCCACTCCTGAGAACATGTTCACAAGGACAGGCTCTCAGGGGCAAATTCAGGTCAGCAATAACAAGGGCACCAATACAAAATGGCAGTGCATATAACTCTATGAAGAGCAGCAGACAGGCTTCAGGAAGTCTGGGCCATGGGTGTGTGGTGAAGGGAATGTCAGGGCACAGAGGCCTTCTGTGATGTCTACCCCATCTAAGATCCAACCCCATTCTCATTCCCAAATTCAACCCCATCCATAACCCAGCTCTACACACAAACTCAACCCCAACCTGATTCCTAAAGCAAGCCCTATTTACATCATCAAGACCAGCTCTAAAGCCAGTCACATCCCCAACCCTAAATATGACCCACTCCTTAACCCCAGTTCCAACCTCTAATTTAATCCCATCCTCCAACCTAACCTAACCTTCAACTTCTTGGAGAAAGAAACTCTGCCCCAACCCCATCTCCAAGTCTAAGCTTAGCCCTAAACTCAAACCCATCCTCATCCCAAGAGACTTAACCCTATCCACATTCCCATCCCCATGCCAGATCACACTTATAGCCCCACCCCCACTTTCTCATCCCCTACCTCACCCCCCATAATTCCTATCTCGACCCTACTCATTTTTCTCTCCATCCCACCTCCAGGCCCATGCCTGTAACCCTATTTCATCTCCCTTTACTTTTGAGTTTGTTTCTTTAAGTAATTTTTACCCCCAATCTGGGGCTTGAACTCAGGACCCCAAGATTGAGAGTCACGTGGTCTCCCAACTGAGCCAGCCAGGCACCCCTCCTGTTTCATATCTGTAAATCCCACCATCACCACCACAGCATACACATACACAGGAGCACACACATGTACACACGTGGCCATACCGTGCTCCTGCAGGTTCCTTGCACTTATAGGCATCACAGGCTGACTGCAGGCCCATGATCTTGGTGCCCACCAGACCATACACCTCAAACCAGTAGAATCAGACTAAGGCCAGCAGGAGAGCCCGAAGCAACTCAATGTGACATTGAAGATGCACTTGTCCTGCAGAACCTCCATCTTTTTTCTTGACAAGATGTGTGTGTGTTCTGAAGCTCTTCCCCAGACCTCAAGTCCCCAGCTCCCAGCCTCTCCCAGACTCAGGGAATTCCTTCTGAGGCCCCCACCCTGCAGAAGCTCTGCCCAGTCCTCAGGCTCACCTGTACCACCTAGACACCTGGTCTTTATTCTATGGGCTCTGTCTCCAGACCTGAGGTCCCCCAGTGCCAAGGCTCCAGGCTCCACCCTCAGTCCAGTGCACTATTCCATAGCCCTAGCCCAATTATTATCTCCCAGGACATTGTTCACTTGGCTTGATCCAAAGTGTTTTGCCTTCCACCACTTTCCACACGTCCTCAGACCTCAAGAACTCCAAGGCAGAAACAAAGTCTGATGAATTTGCGGGACTCCAGGGGCTCCCCTCATAGGAGGCCTCTGGAAATACTTAATTTTGTTTTGTTTTGTTTTGTTTTGTTTTGTTTTGTTTTGTTTTGTTTTGTTTGATTGAGGAGAGACTGCACACCAGGGCAAGGGGCAGAGGGAGAAGGAGAGGGAGAATCTCAGGCAGGCTCCACGCTCAGAGCAGAGCCCAACGCCAGGCTCAGTCTCACAACCCTGAGATCATGACCTGAGCCAAAATCAAGAGTCAGATGCCCAAACAACTGAGCTACTCAGGTGCCCCTGGAAATAGTGAATTCAATCAGCACTGCTTATAGGCCAGGCCTTGAGGAAACAGCAGCGCCCAAGGCACATGAGGCCCTCACCCTCACTGAACCTATAGAAAAGATGTGAATGCTGCTTATAAACAGTTATTATGGAAGACACTCTCATTTCTACTGAGGCCTACTCCATCAATATTTAAGGCAGTCTATTATGATAATAAAAATGTACTAAATCTGTTAATTTAGTTGTTGTCTAGTAGAATGCAGCTTAATGTATCTCCTCTGACATAAAAAATAACTCATTAGATGGAAACTCTCTGCTAAGAATAGTAAGCTGAGGGGTGCCTGGCTGGCTTAGTGGGTGGAGGATGTGACTCTTGATCTCCAGGTTGTGAGTCACACACAAGGGCACCTTGATGGCTCAGATCATGATCTTGGGGTCCTGGGATCAAACCCCACATCACATTGGGCTCCCTGCTCTGCTGGAGGCCTGTTCCCTCTCCCTCTGCCTGCTGCTCCCCCTGCTTGTGCTCTTTCTCTCTCTGTGTGTGTGTCAAATGAATGAATAAAATCTTTTAAAAAAACAAAACAGGGGGCAGCCTGGGTGGCTCAGCGGTTGAGCATCTGCCTTCAGCTGGGTCGTGATCCTGCAGTCCCGGGATCGAGTCTCCCATCGGACTCTCAGACTCTCTGCATGGAACCTGCTTCTCTCTCTGCATTGTCTCTCTCTCTCTGTGTCCCTCATGAATAAATAAATAAAATCTTTAAAAACAAAACAAAACAAACAGGGGATCCCTGGGTAGCTCAGCGGTTTGGTGCCTGCCTTTGGCCCAGGGCGCGATCCTGGAGTCCCGGGATCGAGTCCCGTGTCAGGCTCCTGGCATGGAGCCTGCTTCTCCCTCCTCCTCTGCCTCTCTCTCTCTCTCTCTCTCTCTCTCTCTCTCTCTCTCTCTCTCTCTCCCTCTCTCTATGTCTATCATAAATAAATAAATAAATAAATAAACAAATAAATAAACAAATAAATATTAAAAAAAAAAGCAGATTTATCCAGATGGGCGACGTTCTCCCAAGCAAGCACTACTCTCTCCTTGTTGTATTTATGGTTACTTTTTTCAGCTTTATCAATTTTACAACAAGCACTCCCTCCTCTCAGTGTCCCTCTCTTAACTTCTCAGAGTTTAAAAAAGTAAAGTAGGTTTTTTATACAGTGTGTCAGGATCTTATGAAATGTCTCACTATAAAATTAATAGTAATAAAAGTGTCTGATACCATATGTAAAACAGGCAATATATGTGTTTTGTATATTATCTTTGGAAAAGTAATGTTTTCTGGTTGTGTAGCCTATAACTCATAAAGGGATTATATGCTCTTCCACCTCTGTTTTACTTTTTTGGTTTATTTTAAATGAAAAAATATAGGGGCACTTGGGTGGGTTGAACATCTGCCTTTGGCTTGGGTCATGATCTTAGGATCTTGGGATCAAGTCCCAAATCAGGCTTCCTGCTCATCAGGGAGTCTGTGTCTCCCTCTCCCTCTGTCCCTACATCCTGCTTGTGCTCTCTCTCACTCTCTCTCTCAAATAAATAAAATCCTTATAAAAATAAATGAAAAAATATATATATTAGGGGATCCCTGGGTGGCTCAGTGGTTTGGCACCTGCCTTCGGCCTGGCATGATCCTGGAGTCCCGGGATCGAGTTCTGCAGGAGGCTCCCTGCATGGAGCCTGCTTCTCTGCCTCTGCCTGTGTCTCTGCCTCTCTCTCTCTCTTTCTCTCTCTGTGTCTCTCGTGAATAAATGAATAAAATCTATTTAAAATATATATATTAAATAAGCAGATTAATTATAAAAATATACATATATACTAAATCTCAATAAATATCATTAGGGTAGAGCTCAACAAATATTTTTCTAAGATGATAAATAGTATCATTAATTGGCCTGAATAAACGTATTTTAAGCAACATTCTTTTTTTTTTTCTTTTAGCAACATTCTTTTGAGTGATAATTATATACCAGGTACTGTCTTATAAGATGATCTAGTGGTGACCAAAACCAGATACAAATCTCCCTTTTGGTAACATTTACATTCCAGCTGGGGATAGACAAACATGGTGTCCACGAAAAACAGCATAACTGTGAAAAGTGCTGTAGCTAAGTAAAAGTAGGGAAGTGGGAGAGGAAGTGTGTTGTGATTTCAGATAAGGTGGCCAGTGGAATCTCAGCAAAAAGTTAACTTTGAGACAAAAAACTGACAGACACTTGGAAAGAGCCATCCAGGAAGAGGTGGCCCAGGCCTGTGCCAACATGGTGGCCAGCAAGGCTCAGAGAAGAGTGGGAAGCCAAGCATTAGCCTTGACAAGAGATTGAGGGAGGAACTTCTAAATCCTTGGCATGTCCTGTCTGTTTAGAGTGTCTCTGATTACCTGGGGTCCTTGGGCCACACTAAATGGTATATACTGTCCATGTGGCATATGGTGGGGACCCTGGGCCATACGGTATCAGGATGACCCCTGGAGTAGCTAAGGTCAGCCACATGATTTCTCCATGCTTACAAAACTGCCTTGGACCCTGGACAGTGACACCCCTGGACACCAAGGCTCAGGTGAACTTCTCCGGGGGGCAGGACTCTGTGTATATTGTCATACATTGTTGGTGGAAGCAGTAAGTAAGCACTATCTGTGTGACTCTGCTGGGAGAAGACGACTGGAAGCCCAGGCCTGGTCTCCTGGACGCCGCCTGCAAGCCTCTTCATTTCGCTGCTTTTCATCTCTAACCTTTGGCTGTGTATGATGATCTGTAACTATAACAGCTTTCCAGTGGTCTCTTCTAGTGAATTATTGAAATTGAAAGTGCTCTTGGTCTAGTCAAAGAGCTAGCAGGGTTTGGAACATGTGGCACCTTGTATGGTCTTGCTAGACTAGCTTTTTTTTTTTTAAGATTCCTTTCATTTATTCATAAAAGACACAGTGAGAGGGAGAGATAGGCAGAGGGAGATGCAGGCTCCCTACAGGGAGCCCGATGTGGGACTTCATCCCAGGACCCTGGGATCACAACCTGAGCCAAAGGCAGATGCTCAACCACTGAGCACTCAGGCACCCCTATAGACTAGCTTTTCATTGGAACAGAGGGGTGACATGACTTGAATCATGCTTTAACAAAAATCCCTCTAAATACTGTGTAGGGAATGGACTGTGGGGGTGGCAGGAGGAGGGTAGAGACACCAGCAGAGCTGGTTAGGAGGATGAGGCCATAAGCCAAGGGAGATAAGATCAGACTGGTAACTGGATGGGCAAGGAATCAAATTCTGGACACATTTTTAAGGCAGAGCCAAAGCTGCTTGCTGATAAATCAGATGTGCTATGTAACAAAGCAGCTGAGGATGTTCCCAACACTCTTGGCTGGAGTAGCTGGATGACAGTGGGGCAGGATAGGGAGATATGGGAGGAGTTAGTGTGGGACGTGGAAGAAACTAGGACACGTGAGATTTGAGATGCCTCTGCTCTTCCAGCGGATATTGGAGATGAGTCTGGAGTTGCAACATCATTATTATTGCTAGAATAAACCTCTATAAATATGATTACTGGAATAAGCCTCGTTGAATATGACTCCTTAAATAGGCCTCAATAAATTATGATTAGAGAAGGCTTCAATTGCCATTATTAGTAGAGGAAGCCTCTATAAATATGGTACTATTGTTATTTGTGGATGCCTCAATAAACATTTCTAGGGAGTAAGCTTCTATTAATATGACAGTTTTAGCGTAGGATGTAATTAATATTATTTTCTTTAAAGATTTTTAAATTTACTTATTTATGAGAGACACAGAGAGAGAGGCAGAGACACAGGCAGAGGGAGAAGCAGCAGGCTCCATGCAGGGAGCCCGACGTGGGACTCAATCCCCAGACTCCAGGATCACACCCTGGGCCGAAGACAGGCGCCAAACCGCTGAGCCACCCAGGGATCCCTGTAATTAATATTCTTATTATTAGAATTAGCTTTGCTAAATGGCCTTATTATTTTATGATAGATATCAGTAAATCTCATGGCAATTGGGTGCAGCTTATTGAATGAAGTAATGAAGAGAAGATCAAGGTCATGATGAATGGTGTGCGAAGAGGCAGGAGGATGTGCAGATCAGAGATCTGGTGCTTCTAGATGGGGGGGGGGGGGAGGCATCCAGGAGGGGAGGGCCTGTTAGGAATGCTGCCTGAAGATGCTGCGAGTGGACAGTGAGATCTTTTCTTTTATTGTATTATCCCACTGATATGATTCATAATAAGAAATATATATTTGGTCTTTGTACTATTCCTGGCACAAAGCTGTGGAATTTCATGGGTGATAAGGGCTTTGAAGGTCTATTTGTTACATTAATGAGGCGACTGGGGGAAGTGGGTTGCACTCCAGGGTAAGGGCAGGTGACAGGGGAACCAACCAGGTGACTAGAGGGAGTCCAGCCCCCAACCTGGAGAGGGAGGGGCTGGAGACTCAGTAACCACCTGTGGCCAATGATGTACTCAAGTATGCCTGTATAATGAAGCCACCATAAAAACCCACTAGGACTGGGTTCAGAGAGCTTCCAGGTTGGTGAATGCATGCATAATGGGGAGAGTGGCCCCCTGGAGAGTGCATGGAAGCCCCTGGCCTTTTCCCCACACCTGGCCCTGCACTTTCCTTCCATCTGGCTGTTCCTGACTTAGATCCTTTTATAGTAAACTGGTGATCTAGTAAGTAGAAGCTTTCTCTAAGTACTGTGAGCCACTCTAGCAAAGTAATCAAACCCAAAGAGTGAGTCATGGAAATCTCCAACTACTGCTGGTTGACCTTCAGAAGCCCAAGTGATAAGCTGCACTTCTCATGATATTTGAGGTAGGGGGTGGGGCAGTCTTAAGGACCCAGTCCTTCCTCTGTGGTATCTGACACTACCTCCACTTGGGTAGTGTCAGAACGGAGTTGCTTGGTGATGTAGGATAAAAAAAAAAAACACATCAGGGGCACCTGGGTGGCTCAGTGGTTGAGCATCTGCCTTTGGCTCAGGTTGTGATCCCAGGGTCCTCCCTGGCAGGGAGCCTGCTTCTCCCTCTGCCTATGTCTCTGCCTCTCTCTGTCTGCTTTTTATGAATAAATAAATAAAAATCTTAAAAAAAAACCACACACACACATTAGAATAGGTGTCAGAATTGTACCTATACATCTGTTTCCTAGAAGTCATAGTTAACCCCTGGTGGGGACTGTGTGATTCATGTCTGTCCCCATCCCTATAGAGACTGAGCAGGTTCACCTGCAGTAATCCAACCACTCCCACCCCATCCACCTCTCACACGTGTTTCTCAGCACCCCAGCCCCTCAGGGACCACACCTTAGTAGTTTCACATCAGTTTTATTAGACTCTCAAAAAGTCGCTCTAATGGAGATCCCATTTCTCTAACACTCCCCCTTTGTGGGCTGGGCCTTGGGTCTTCTCAGCTGCTTCCCACCAGGCCCCATTCTTCCTCCTTCCCCCTTGGGACACAGGAGTCAGAGGTCCCCACCCGGAGTCCAGGACTGAACCCCCTCATGCCCACAGGAACCAGGACTTCAGGCCTCTAGACCCTCCCCCTCCTTTTCAGTGGCCCCATTCTAACTTCCAGATGAAGTTGGGAGTACACTGGGCTCAGCGGGGAGCAGACAGGCGCCGACATTCATGCATCCGGTAAGCACACATGTAGAAAATCCCTGCGTGAGAAGAGATCCCAGTTGACCTCCCAAGTCCTCCTAACCTGGGCTCTTAACCCAAGACCCCAGCACAGCACTCCCTTCTTCCTTGGGTTTTGGCAGAACCTGGAGTCTGTCTTCTGGCTCACTGCTAGGGGACTTGTAGGGGACACCCCATCATCTTGCCCTCTGGAGTGCCGCCCACTCTGCCAGGGACACTGACTTTCCCACCCCCAAGCCCTCGTACCTGCGAAGAAGGTCATGAGCAAGGCCACCCAGCCCAGGATGTAAGACCAGGAAAAGCGCCAGTCCCCAAAGCGGCGACCAAGGAAGCTGACAGTGACTCCAGTGTAAATGGCCAAGGCCAACAGGACAAAAAAGGCTGGGGAGAGAGGGTAGGGGGTAATGGGTGGGAAAGGGGGCAGGAATGGGTTTTGGAGATGGGATGGGAATGAGATGGAGGAAGGGGGAGGCCCAGGTAGGGGAGGGAAGGTGTAAAGGGTGAGGAGGCTTGGGGAGTAGGGTTGGATGAGGATGGGTCAGGCCAGTGCTGTGTAATAGAATTTGACTGGGCTGGTTTTGGTCTCTGGTTCCTGGGAGGGAGACACTAAATCCTTGGAATTTCCTGAGTAATACGAGTGTTTTTGTTATTATTGGATTTATGTGGAGCTGAGATGACACAGGGTAGGAACTGGTCACCAGAAAGACCAGCCACAGAAACAGAACAGACAGTAGGGGCTTTGAGCCACTAGCTATCAGATCACCCTCTGCAGAAAGAACCTGGAGATTAAATTCGCTCACACAATCAATGACTGAGTTGTGCTTTGGCAATGAAACCCCAGCAGGAACTCTGGATATCCAAGTGTGCAGGAGCTTTCTGGCTGCTAACACAGCAGTGTGTTGGGAGGGGAGTGTGCCCTGACCCCAAAGGGGGAGGGTGCAGAAGCTCTGTCTTCAGGACCCTCTCCAGCTTCATGCTAGACATCTCTTTATTTAGCCAGTGCTGAGATGTTCGTTGTTAAGTGTAGTGCCTTCCTGAGTTCTGTGACTTCTAGCGAATTTTTTAATCTGCCTGGGTTCTGGGAACCCCCGAATCTATAGCCAGTTGGCCAAAAGTGCAGATGGCCTGTGGCCCCCTCTTGCCACCCAAGTAGGCACAGCCTTGTTAGGGGTCATGCCCTTAATCCTGTGGGGTATGGCATCAACTCTGGGTGGTTGGTGCCAGAAACTCTCTGGTTGTTGGTATCAATCAAGGTTGGGGTCATGGAGCTGAGAATGAGAAGAAACCCCCCAGAAAGAAGTGCTTGGGATGGAAATGGGCAGGGAAGTTGGGGGTGGGGGTGGGGATGGGGGAGGGTGGGTCCACTCACTGGAAGCGAAAAACATGATGCCTGCGGAGAAGGGCCGGGAGAGGCGGGTGAAGGTGGGCTGCTGAGCGAAGGCGAGGATGCCCATGATGATGCCCGAGGTGGCGCACAGGGAGGACAGGATCATGAAGGCCCGGGTGGCATTCCAATAAGCTGTGGTAGCACCGAACAGTCACTCCCAGGCTCCCAAGCCACTCCTGCCCTCAGTGGCGAACACTGCTACCTCTGAGGGCTGGAATGTCTTGCCTCTCTCCATATCCTGACCCAGCTTCTCCCTCGCCTCTCTGCAAACCAACACTCTCTGCACCTGGCAAACTCCTATTCATCTTCCACAGTCCAGCTCCCAAATCCCCTCTGGGAAGCACCCTTTCACCCATCAGGCATGGTCTTTCCCTCCTGCTCTGGATTGTGGCTCTTGGCTTGTTTTCCCTTCTAGCCTGATTGCTCCCTAAGGCCAGGAGTCTACATGGAGAACACCCCCAGCTCAAGTTAGGTTTGCTAATGGGTGTGGAGAAATGTTTGTTGGATGAATGAATGAATGAATGAATGAATAATGAATGAGTGTTGATTCCCTGCTATCCTCCTGCTATTTACTTCCTATACTCTCTCGATCACCGTCTTTTTAAAAAATATTTTATTCGTTTATTCATGAGATACACAGAGAGAGGCAGAGACACAGGCAGAGAGAGAAGAAGGCTCCCTGCAGAGAGCCTGATGTGAGACTCTATTCCTGGACCTGGGATCAAGACCTGAGCCAAAAGCAGACACTCAACCACTGAGCCACCCAGGTGTGCCCCATCACTGTCTTTCATTTCCTTGATACCACTTGCCCATACCTGAAAATGGCCTATTTATTTATTTTTAACTTTATATCTGTCTTTCCCTGATTTCTTAGTTCTGCAAGGACAAAGGTCTTGCTTCCTCATTCATTGCTTCATCCCTAGCACAGAGCACCTGGCACATAGTGGGTGCTCAGGGCAAATGCTGAATGAATGAATGTGGAGACATGAGAATCATTCTTCTGTGCTTAGCTCTGGGTTTGCCCTATAGGACATGCCCTGAGAATAATAGTTATGATCTCATCTTCTGTTTAGCACCTGCTAAATATGTGCCAGGCATGCATTCTGTGAATGGGCCTATTTGTTCCTTCTGAGAGCCCTTATGCTATACGTACTATTTTTGACCTCATTTTTTTCAGGTGAAAAACTAAGGCTCAGAGAGGTAAAGTGACTCACCCAGGGTCTCATAATTGGCAGTAGGACAGGCATTGAAAGTCAAGCACCAAAGCTCTTATTGTTAACTGCTTGCCTAGTCTGTCTCTCAGAACACCCAGGACAATTCTGCAGCTGGGACAGAGCCTGGGTCCTGCCACTTGAAAAGTAAAAAGTCTGAGGGCACCTGGGTGGTTCAAGGGTTGAGTGTCTGCCTTTGGCTCAGGTCGTGATCCTGGGGCCCTGGGGTCCTGGGATCAACTTCCGCATCAGGCTTCCCACAGGGAGCCTGATTCTCCCTCGGCCTATGTCTCTGCCTCTCTGTGTCTCTCATGAATAAATAAATAAAATCTTTAAAAAATAGTAAAATAGATAAAAAGTCTGGATCTTTGCAAAATGCGCTTTTGTTTTGTGCAAATGTCAGTGAGAAAAATTGCTGGCTGTTTCTCTATGGCTGTTGTTACGGAGTTGAACTGTGTCTCTCTCCCAACCCCCAAATTCAGACGTTGAAGCTCTAATACCCAGAATAGGACGTTATTTGGAAATAGGGTCATTGTGAATGTGATTAGTTAAGATAAGGTTCTACTGGAGTAGGTGTATTCCTAATCCAAAATGACCAGTATCCCCACAAAATGGGGAAATTTGGAAAAAGACAGACATACAGCATGGGGTGGGGTGGCAGGTACAGGGATGGGGCACCATGTGAAGATAGAGATGGAGATCAGGATGATGCACTGACATGCCAAGGAATGCCAAAGACTGCCAGCCAACTACCAGACACTGGGCGAGAGACAAGCAACAGACTCTCCCAGGCAGCCTCAAAAGGAACCAACTCTGCTGACACCTTAGTTTTGGACTTCCAGCCTCCAGAGCTGGGAGACAGTACATTTCTGTGGTTTGAGCCTCAGTCTGTGGTCCTTTGTAATGGCAGCCCCAGGAAACTACAGATGCCTCTGGGTATTTAAAAGTCTGGAGGAGGGGCATCTGGGCAGCTAGGTCCATTAAGCCTCTGCCTTCAGCTTAGGTCCTGATCCTGGGGTCTTGGGATCAAGCCCCACACTGGGCTCCCTGCTGAGTGGGGAGTCTACTTCTCTCTCTCCCTCTGCTCCTCCCCGCCCCCCTTGTGCTTGCTCTCTCTCTCAAATAAATAAATAAAATCTTTAAAAAATAAAAATAGGGGTACCTGGGTGGCTCAGTGTTTGAGCTTCTGCCTTTGGCTCAGGTTGTGATCCCGGGGTGCTGGGATCGAGTCCTGCATCAGGCTCCCTACAGGGAGCCTGCTTCTCCCTCTGCCTATATCTCTGCCTCTCCCTGTCTCTCATGAATAAACAAATAAAATCTTTAAAAATAAACAAATAAAAATAAATATAAATAAATAAATAAATAAATAAATAAATAAATAAATGCAAACCTGGAGGGCTTACCAGGTACATTTTAGTCTATGCCCTTCCCATGGTGTGCTAAGGTGGGACTGGAAAGAGCAAATGTCTCTGAGGCCTGCCTAAAGCTGCAAATAAGTCCAGTGGGCTACGGTGGGGTGTTGCTGTGAATTGGGCATGAACATCACATCACCAGTTACCCACTACGGCCCTCTGCTCCATCTTGAGAGAAAATTCTCCTGTTTAAATCGCAATGTGCTTCCCTGAGGGGCCCCTGACAGATATACCACAGTTAAAGGTTGCAAAACTGGATTTTTCTAAGTGAGCTGCAAGCCCAGATTTTATACATAAAAATTTTTATACAAAATTTTAAATTCTGGCAGAGACTTAAGAAACTTTAAAAACTCTATACACCCACATCTGCAGCTGGGTTCGGCCACTGCAAGTTCACATCTCCTGCTTTGATTCTCATGAGCTCCTGAGAGTTGATGTGCAAAGTGAGCCAACTGCTTGGACAGATATTCAGCAATCCATCATGGTAAGGTGTGTCCCTGAGGATCTTGGGTTTGAGGTCAAATGCACTTGCAAAGCTCCATCATGCCTCCCTCTCCCCATCCCCAGCAGAGTTAAGACAGGGAATATGGGTGTCCCCCAGGGTGTTCCCAGACTGAAGTGGGAGAAATGGTAGGTAGAGGCATGAATGAGACCTCCAGAAATGAAAGGGAAACATGAAGTCAGGAGGCCAACTGAGCTCGGAAGCTGGAGGCTGGGGCAAATCTTTCCACTGCTTGCTGCCCTGGTTTACCCCTTCTGAAAATGGGCATCTTGCTGCCTCTCCCAGGCAGGTTCAATGAGATGGGATGCCTGAAATCTGGCCCATCACAGGGCTCAGGGGGGTTGGCTCTTCCTCTCAAAAACTCCCTGGAGAGAATGTCTGGCTTTTTTTTTTTTTTAAGATTTTATTTATTTATTTATTTATTTATTTATTTATTTATTTATTTATTTATTTGTGAAAGACATAGAGAGAGAGGCAGAGACACAGGCAGAGTGAGAAGCAGGTTGCATGCTGGGAGCCCGCCCGATGCCAACTTGATCCCAGGACTCCAGTATCACACCCTGGGCCGAAGGCAGGCGCTAAACTGCTGAGCCACCCACGGATCCCCAATGTCTGGCTTTTTGAGGGCAAGTCTCATATTTTATTCCCAGAAACAGTGGTACTACCTTCAGTGTTGTTGAGAGACTAAAGGGCATTAATTCATGTCAAGCACTTAGAATAGTGAATAGGACACAATAATATTCGATAAATGCCAGTCATCATTATTATTATTACTATTATTATTACTACTGTTTAGTAAATATAAAATATGTAACCTTATATATTATTAATATATTAATATATAATGCACATTATATATTATATAATATAACATACAATGAATGTATCTCTCCATATATATGTATAAATACACATAGGTATATGTATATACATATGGAGAGAGATACATAGATATATATTATATAATATACTATATAATATGTATTATCTTTTATATAAAATATATATTATTATAATGTAGCTTGCAAGAACTCTATGCTGGGAGAGCTATTTTTCCCCATTTTTACAGCATATATTGTAACATGCACATATATACATACACATGTACATATAGACAGATAGATTACATAGCCTGGCACACAGTATGTATTAAATACTACCATCCAGTCTTTAGCAAATTTAGGATCCATATTTCTTCTGTAACCCAGTTTCCAACCTAGTTCTTGATACATAGTAGATATTTAGAAAATGCTAGTCTGACAACCCTAACCCCGCCTGCCCTACCTGACTTCATGCCAGGAAATGTCACGTCTCTACTTAACCTCTAGGACATTTCATAATTGTACTAGAAAAAAATCCTGATATCCCAGTTCTGCTGAGTGATCTTTGGTTGGTGCCTTTCCCTCTCCGAGGCACAGAGTTCTCCACCTGCAAAACAGGTGGAGAGGCTGTGTCCTGGGTGAGTGGGTGGGTGGGTGGGGGGCTCTGGCTCTATCCCCAGAGGGCCTCTAACCCCGCCCCAGAGCCTTACCGATACTCTCTGTCTGCAGGTAGCACTTGTTGCCCAGGCAGTAACGCCACAGGCCCTGGTGGGCAAAGGACCCTGACAGCCGGTACTGCATCCAGTGATCTGTTGCTGTGGCCACCACCAGGAGGATGGTTCCCACCCAGGCACAGAAGAGGCCGCCACCCATGAAGCTGTACATGGTGATCTGTGAAGAAGGGGAGAGATGGGGTCACGAGCTGGACTCCTGGGTCCTGGCAGAGGAAGGGACTGGAGCCTGGGCCCCTGGATCCTGGGAGGGGGTGGCTGGAGGCCTGGGCTTCCGGGTCCTGGGTGAGGAGGGGGCTAGGGGCTGGGACCCCAGCAGGCCCCTGGGAGAGGAAGGAGCTAGAGGATGGCCCCCTGGGTCTTGGTGGAGGAGGGGGCCTGTAGGTCCAATGCCTGGTCCCTACCTGAATGGCAGAGCCTGTCACAAGCCCTCTGTCTGCCTCGGCCCTTCTGTGCAGACTGAGCCGAGCCAGGTCACTGGCCTCTCTGCTCCCTGGGTCCCCCAAATCCCTTAAGCCTCCCCACACAATGACCCCATGGCCCAGCAGCTTCCAGCAGGCAGAAGTGCAGTGGTGGCAGAGGCCCCAAATGGAATTCGCTGAAACAGGGATCCAAGCACTCCCTCCCTGCAGTCCCTGGCTCCACTGACCTCTCTCTGTGACCCTCCCAGCAACCCTCCCACCCTTTCACAGGCCTTGCTCACAGCACCCACTGGGTTAGCCTGAGCTGTGTAAGCACACACACAGAGACACAAGACATAGGGCCAGTCATCCATTTATTGTTCAACCAGGGCTCCCCATCCCCAGGGGCAGGAAAGGGAGTGGGGGGTGGCAGGTGTCTGGGTACGCTGGGCCAATGGGGTTCTTTGCAGGTGGGTCACAGGGCATGTCACATTTGGGGCTGGGACTGGAATAAGAATGGGACAGGGTTGGCTGGGGTCACAGATGGGCTAGGTTTGGGGTCAAGTTTAGGAGGCAGTTAAGGATGAGGGAGGATTGGGTTGGCCTGAAGTAGGTAGAGAATGAGAGTGCAGAGCTGGGCCTGAGGGGAGAGGTAGGAATAGAAATGGGAATGAGTGGGTTTAGGGGTATGATATTGAGAGTGGGGGTTGGGCAGGTGGGGATGGGGTTAGGGTCATCACTGTAGTTGGGGATGGTGTTGGGAATGGGAAGAGGTATGGCTTTGGGCATGGGCATGAGGCTCAGGGTTTTTTCTGGCGTGGAATCCTAAGTCAGCTCCAGTTCTCATGGGGTGGCTCGCAGGACCCACTTCTGAAGCTGTGGTTTTGGGAGAAGAAACATGGGAACAGGATGTTTCCTGGAGTATCTCTGCCTCAGCTGAGGTCACCCTGGGCACCAGGAAAACCCTCCTGGTGACCCTGGGTGGGCCCACTCAGGAGTTTGGGGAGCTGGACCTTCAGGTCCTAGTACTCTGCCTCCCAGTCTTCTGCTACAGCAGGCGGCATGTCCTGGGATGACTCCTGATCTCTGTCTTCCTTCTTCTCATCGTGTCTGGGCAGTATTGGTGGTGATGCTGGGATCACTGGAGGAGTCTTGGGGCCAGCCCCAGACCTCCCCAGCCAGCCCCTCTCTGGATTCTCAGCCCTGCCAGGTCGCCATTGCTGTGGGCCCTGGCCCCGGCCTAGCCTGCGCTGGACGCCCCAGCCCCTGCGTCCCCTGGATGGCCTGATGGCGGTGCCTGGCTGGGGGCAGCATGCTTGGGTGGTGCAGGGGCAGGAGGGCAAGGACTGTTGAAGGTTGTAGGCCCCCAGCAGAGCACTGTGCAGGAGGTAAGAGAGGGCGTCCAGGCGGATGGGGATGGTGACAGAAGCCAGGCTTTCAGGGAGCCCCAAGTGGGCTGGATCTGGGGTGCCCAGGGGAAAAGGTGGCAAGGCTGGAAAAGGTGCAGGTGGCCAAAATTCCGTCCCAGGGGAAGACAAGGGCGGCCTGTTCCTGGAATGACAAGACGACAGGTCCACAGGGCTCGCCAACTCTTTCTATCCTTCCTACTATAGTCCAGCACTTTTCCTGGGAGTCCTGCATCCACCTCTGACGTCCCTGCCGGTTCAATCTCTCTCTCATTCTTTCTTCCCATTTCTCTACAGAGGGACAGCCAGCTCTGGCAGAACTTTAGCACCAGAGAGAACAAAGTTCCAGGGTGCCTGGGTGGCTCAGTGGTTGAGCATCTGCCTTTGGCTCAGGGCATGATCCCAGGGTCCTGGGATTGAGTCCCGCAACGGACTCCCTCTGCCTATGTCTCTGCCTCTCTCTCTGGATCTCTTATGAATAAATAAGTTATATATATATATATATATATATATATATATATATATATATATATATATATATAAAAACACAGTTCCAGCTCCAGGGCCACTTCCCTCAGGGTATGTTTCTGGGCCCCTCACTTCTCTGTGGTGAACCTTAATTTTTCCCACCAAAAGATGGCTTTTGGGAGTGTCAAAGGCGCATACGAAAGGCCCAGGTCTGACAATTATTATGCTGTCTCCAGCTCTACCGCTGTTTCTGGGATCTTTGATTCTCCTGGTTCCCTCTTGAAATGTCTCCCTGCTCCGCGAGTATCTGTTCCTAACTGAATCCCTGTTTGTATCTCGCTCAGCTCTAGCAACAAAATCGCTAAGATTGTTTCTAACTGATGATACTTGACTTTTTTTTCCCCTCTCTGATACTCTCTTTGGGTCTGTCCACTCTGTCTCTGATTTTCTCCGTCCCCTCCCCTCTCTGGTCTTTTTCCTCCCCGTGGAGAAGGTCTTGTGTCTCTCACCCTTCGGGCTCAGTCCCCTCCTCCTGCTGTTCCATCTTTACAGGAGTCTCTCAAGTCTCTTCTAGAACCTTCCCTTTGAGTTCTCCCAGGTCCAGGGAGGTGCGGAGGGGTCGGGAAGGAAGTAGGTGGGACTTTGTCCAGAGGGGGGCGTGGCCTGTCGGCGCGCGGAGCCGCGGAAAAGTACGCTGGGATCTTACGCTGAGATCTCGAGATCTAATTCCTCAAATCCCCCCATCCCCCCCAGCTTCCCACCCCCCATCTCAGGCCACAGTTCACACGTCCCCAAGACCCAGGAGTATGGCCACTGAGCTTCTCCCTGCTCAGACCCAACAGCCCTGGTCCCAGCCTCTTCCTCCCTCAGACCCAGGAGTCCAGGCCCCAGCCCCTCCTCCCTCTGACCAGAAGTCCAGGCCCCCAACCCCCTCCTCCCTCAGACCCAGGAGTCCAGGCCCCAGCTCCTCCTCCCTCAGACCCAGCAGGTGGAGCCCTCAGTCTCCTCTTCTCTCTCGGTCTATATTTATAGCCATTTCTTCAGGGGGCCTGCTGGTGTTCCTTAGGACTAAAGGGATATTTAGATAGGGAAATCGGAACATCTGTATACTCCTGGAGCAGCAGGAAAAGTAGATGAGCTGGAGTTAAGGCAGACACTTAAAGGACTCAGCCACCCAGGCACACCTCTGTTGGAATACCTTTATACTTATGGAAAAAGTTACAAAGATAATACAGAGTTCCCATACAATCCTCACCCAGCTCCTCTAATGTTATCCTCTTACATTGTTATAGAACCTTTGTTGGACTAAGAAACTAGCACGACTATTTACCAAACTCCAGACTTTATTTGGAATTTACCAGTTTTCACATTAAAGTCCTTTCTTTTCTGTTTCAGAATCTGTTGCTGGATACCATTTATCGCCACACCTCCCTAGTCTCCTCTCAGTCTTTCCTGGCTTTTCACAACCTTATCAATTTTGAGGAATACTAGTTACATTATAAAATAGGAGTCTATTTTCATTAGTAATTCTTTCTTTCTTTTTTTTTTTAGAATTCTAATAAATTCACTTCGCAGGTGATCAAACTGTGCCTTAGAAGAGTCTAAAAAAGTTGCTTGAGGTCACAGAGCTAGGCTTTTTTTTTTAATTTATGATAGTCACAGAGAGAGAGAGAGAGGCAGAGGGAGAAGCAGGCTCCATGCACCAGGAGCCTGACATGGGATTTGATCCCAGGTCTCCAGAATCACGCCCTGGGCCAAAGGCAGGCGCCAAACCACTGCGCCACCCAGGGATCCCCGAATCTGCATTCCTAATGGAGACACAAGTAGTAGCCAGATTTTGTAGGACCTGATAGGCTGCAGTGAAGACTTTGGGGTTTTGGGGGGGTTGTGCCTATGTTTTTAAATTTTAGAACACTCAGATGACTTCGAACATTTGTAAGCTGAGATATGACGTAATTTGATTAATGTTTTAAGAAAAGCACTGTGAGAGCACCTGGGTGGCTCAGTGGTTGAGCGTCAGCCTTTGGCTCAGGTCATGATTCCGGGGTACTGGGATCGAGTTCCACACCTGGCTCCCTCTGCCTATGTCCCTGCCTGTCTCTCTGTCTCTCTCTCTCTTTTTTAAAAGACTTATTTATTTATTTATTTATTTATTTATTTATTTTTTTATTCATGAGAGACACAGAGAGTGAGAGAGGCAGAGACATAGGCAGAGGGAGAAGCAGGCTCCTTGCAGGAGCCCCATGTGGGACTCGATTCCAGATCCCGGGATCATGATCTGAGCTGAAGGCAGTTGTCCAAGTGCTGAGCCGCCCAGGAGTCCCTGTGTCTCTCATGAATAAATAAATAAAATCTTTAAAAAAGAAAAGGGCAGCCCCGGTGGCGCAGTGGTTTAGCGCGCCTGCAGCCCAGGGCGTGATCCTGGAGACCCGGGATAGAGTCCCACGTCAGTCTCCCTGCATGGAGCCTGCTTCTCCCTCTGCCTGTGTCTCTGCCTCTCTCTTTCTGTGCGTTTCTATGAATAAATAAAATAAAAAATATTAAAAAAAATAAAAAAGAAAAGAAAAGCACCGTGTCAGTGGTTTGGAAAACAGGCCCTGGTGGAAGAGCAGTGCTAGAGTGGTCGCAGGAAGTCCAGGGAGGATATTGCTATTCTCCAGGCCAGGGGTGGTGGTGGTGACTCCCAAGGAGAGTGGGGGTAGTGGGGATGGGAAGATGTGAGTGGATTTAGGATGTGTTTTGAAAGAAGAACCATCAGAATTTGCTGCAGGGCTCCCGGGGGTGACTAATGAGGATCAAAGATAATGCAAAGTTTTCAGCCAGAGCAGTGTCTCAGAATATGATTTTTTTTTTTTAACAGAAGTCCACAACATCCCATTTTAAGGATGGGAAAGCCCAGATACCACCTTTCACTTTTTGACTTCCTTGGAATCCAGGCCCTGTGCAGGATGATGCTGGTGACTCAGAGATGTCACCTGTCCTCAAAGGGCTTTGTGAAGGGTGGGGGACAGACAGAGAGGGACGGTAACATTCCAGGGTGATCAGAGCCTGGAAACAGGTAAAGGACAATGAGAGCCCCAAATGGGTGGATTGATGTCCGGTGAAGGGGGGGCGGGCAGGAAAACCTTGTTGCTGCAGGCAAGGGGTGGTTCTCTGGCGGTTTTGTTTTTTGGTTTTAGGGGAGGTAGACTTTGGACTAGCTCTAGACTGAGTGGATATTTGATGTAGAAGAAATGGTGTGAGCAAAGGCCAGGTGGCTGGAACCAAAATATTTTTACCATGAAGCGAGGGCTTTCCTTTCCTGGCCAGTGTGATTAGGATTCAGGTCTCATCCATCCCTTATGTTGTATCTCAAAGAGGCAGGGCAAGACTATTTTGTGGAAATGGGGCTCGGAAATGACGGTTTGAATCTACGCCCCTACTTAGAAATGCGTAATCTAAAGCAAGCTGCTTAAGCTTTTTGGGTTCCCATTTCTTCGTGACTTGGCGCTTCCTGCTCCATTCCAGCATAACGGACTCTATTTGCTCTGTTACTGTTTCCCCTTTTTGTTTTTTTTTTTTTAAATATATATATATATTATTTATTTATTTATTTATTTATTTATTTATTTATTTATTTATTTATTCATGAGAGACAGAAAAAGGCAGAGACATAGGCAGAGGGAGAAGCAGGCTCCACGCAGGGAGCCCGACGTGGGACTCAATCCCAGGTCCCCAAGATCACACCTCAAGCCGAAGGTGGCGCTAAACCGCTGAGCCCCTGGGCCTGCGACAGGCAAGTTCTGAAAGTGACCAATCAACTCCTGAGACGGAGGCAGCAAAACTTCCGATTGGCTGGGGAACTCTGGCGGCGTTTCGTGTAAGCTCCGCCCCTCCGCGTTACAGATCCCAGCGCGAGAGCGTCATCCTTGGCTCTGATTGGCGAGGGAGCTCGCGCTGCCTTCGAGTCCCCTCCCGTCGCCGTCAGATCCGCGAGCCAGCATTCTCGCTCTCTGATTGGCTACATTTCTGAGCGCGCCCTCGCCCTCGCTCCCTGATTGGCTGTCGTTTATCGGGACCTTCCCCGGACTCTCTTGAGGCGGCGTCTAGGGTTGTCGGTTGCCATTGTTACTGTTGTGCGGCACCTGCTGCGTCTGGGAGACCCGTCCCAGGGCTAGAGATGACGAGCGAAGCTTGGAGGGGAGACCGGCCTTGGGCTGAGCGGAAGGATCCCTGCAGGGGTCTTCTTGGCCCACCAGGGAGCCCCATTGCCTCATCCCCACCTTAGGATCCCCTTCTTTGCATTGTCCTCCACGTGTCTCGGACAAAGTCCCAAGACTGGACCTTAAGGTCCTCCAGCCTACTGGGCTCACGGATTCCCTCAGGTCTCCGCTTCCATCCCCCTCCGCGGGACCCTGGGATGCCTTCGCTTGAGCCTTACCAATTCTTTGAATCCCTCCAACTTGGGGATCCTCCCAAGTGCAGGGAAGGCATCAGGGCCTCCGGGTCTTGGGGGCTCCTCTCACTGCCACCCCTACCTTTACATCCTCCCTGTCCCCAAAGTCCCCCCTACCTCCCTTCCTTGCCTCCCCTTGGAGAATCTCCCCACCTCTGGGGGCTCTGACCTCACTGCTTTCTTCCCAGCTGCTTCAAGGCACAGGGGTCACCTTTACACGTTGACTTCTACGTTTTTCCTAACAGAATGCTGCTGACTGAGGAGTGGTTCCCAGCCCACAGGTCAGGATTCCCACACTTGTAAAATTGTAAAAATCAGTCTCTCCCCTTTGGAATTGCCGCTTCCCCTTTGGGATGTATATTTGGGACAATCCTTTCCATTGTCTTTTTTTTTCATTGTCATTTTTTTTAAAGATTTTATTTATTTATTTATTCATAAGAAACAGAGGCAGAGACAGGCAGAGGGAGAAGCAGACTGAGCAGGGAGCCTGTTGTGGGAGTGGATCCCAGGACCCCAGGATCATGACCTGAGCAGAAGGCAGACAGCTCAACCACTGAACCACCCAGGGGTCTGTGTATTGTCAGCTTTGTTCAGGGTTACCTGCATTCAGGGGGTCACCTACAGAGCTTCCCTACATTTGGAGAGCTCCCACACAGCAATCCCCAACTCAGTGACAGTCCCCTTTAGCCCTCAAAGCAGAACTTTCTGGGTTCAGAGAGTGACCCTTGGGGCCTCCCTCAGCCTCAGAAATCCTCCTCCCTCAGCTTCAGAGATCCCCCGACTCCTGGGTTTCCTCTTACTCTCAGAAGACCCAGCACTACCCTCCCCCCCTCCCTGCCGTTCTTCTGTCTCCCACACTCACACTCAAGTTGTGGTCCTGGGGTCAAGTCCCACATCAGGTTCCTCATAGGGAGCCTGCTTCTTCCTCTGCCTGTGTCTCTGACTCTCTCTCTTTCTGTGTCTCTCATGAATAAATAAATAAAATCTTTAAAATAAATAAATAAATAGTGCTCAATCTATTTTGTATTCATATTCTATTAATCCAGCAAAATGAACTCTTTGGTGTACAGTTCCAAGTTTTGACAAATTCGTAGCCATGTAATGACCATCATAATCAAGGCACAGAATACTTCTATTATCCTCTGCA